ACTAATCATAGATTCATCAAAAGCTTTTGACACTGTTAACCACGACATCTTATTGTCCCGATTGGTTAGTATTGGGTTGTCTGATAAGGTTATAGGCTGGTTTAGAAATGATTTAAGTAACAGATGTCAGCGTGTACTTTTGGATGTTTTTTTGTCTGAGAAGCTTGCTGTTAGAACTGGGGTGCCACAGGGTTCCATTTTGGGGCCCTTGTTGTTCACAATGTACATTAATGACCTCTGCAATAATGTTTTAAATGCTGATATGCATTTTTATGCAGATGATACTATTATCTATTGTTCTGCTTCATCACCAGCAGAGGCTCTTTCAAATTTACAGGAAGCATTTGTGACTGTTCAGCACAATCTTAGCTCTCTACGACTTGTTCTTAATGATCAAAAAACAAAATATATGTTATTTTCTAAAAAACTTGACACAGAGATCATTTTTGCCACAAATTTATACACTGTTGGGCAGACCAATAGAACTAGTTTCATCTTATAAAAATTTGGGTTTTATATTAGATCATAACCTGTCTTTTAAATTGCATGTGGAACAATTGATAAAGAAGTTAAAATTGAAGTTGGGATTTTATTTTAGGAGCAGTTTTTACTCCACAGTAAAAAACTTGTCGAAGTTACCTTTTTACCTATTCTAGATTATGGTGATATTTTTTTACAGGTATACTTCAAAGACAACACTGTACTCCCTGGATTCTGTTTATCATTCAGCGTTAAGATTTATAACAGGCGCTAGATATTCAACCCATCGCTGGGAACTTTATGAAATGGTTGGATGGCCTTCACTTTCAGTGCGAAGACATTCGTTGGATATTTTTTGTCTATAAAGCAATAATTGGTCTGCTTCCTTCATATTTGTCTGCTTTCATATCAACAAATAAGTCTCAGTACAATTTACGTTCTAGTAGTTATATTCAGCTGGATGTTCCGATAGTACGGTCTGAATACGGCAAGGCAGCTTTTAGTTACAGTGCTTCATCTGCATGGAATGATCTGCAAAAACATTTGAAATTGGAGCAGTTTATTTCCTTGAGTGCATTTAAGATGATTGTTAAAGCGCTGTATCGTTCTGTTTGTTCTTGTTTTTAATTTGGTTGTGACCCTGATTTGATTCTGTTGGTGGTGGTCGTGTTGTTTCATTGTTGTTTTGTTGCTGCCTTCGTGGCCAGGGCTCACTTGTAAAAGAGATTTTAAATCTCAATGTGAGTAAATAAAGGTTAAATAAAATAAAAAATAAATTTAAAAAATCGATTGACGAGTTGTTGCTTTTCAATCGATTCAAAGGTGTTTTTGTAAATTGAGAGAGACTCGATTCAGTGATTCAAGCTTCTTTAAGAACTACTGTAATGCACTAAAAGTATTCTTAAAAGACTTCCTCTAATGTTTCTCGGACAAAACCTGAATTAGTCAAATGACTTCAGTAATGATTATTGCAGCAACGAATATCTAAAATGAACATGCTGTAAAAAGGTTAAAGTAGTGTGAAGTGCTTTTTAAAAAAAAAAACAGGACCCTATTTCAGATACCATATTTTTAAACAGGACTTTTATTAATATATATCCACTCTCTCACAGTAATTTTATATAGATATATGTACATACACAGACATGTACAGATATAGGAACTCAAAGTAAACACTCAAAGCTTAAACATCTAAGTGTATAATAAGAAGGTACGACACAATACAGGTAATACAATACATCAGTAAAAATGTAGGTAACAGTGGAAACAATGTCCATTTAGTGTAAAGCTAAATCATATCTGTGAGTTTAGTATGTTCAGGATGATGAGGTATAAACCTACACACAGTTGAAGAAAATAATCTGGAAAATCTGTCAGTTTTGTTTTTACAGTAGAAAATAAGTCTTTAAAAGGGGCATTTTGTCCCACTCTCAGTGCAATACGACACCCCCTTACATGGAGTAAGAGGCCTCACGACAAAGTTTTACGGAATGTATAATTCATATGTCAAAACATTTCTAGTCTTTGCATCAGAAACTGTTATTAATCAAAGTACAGCATAAAACCGAGGCCTCTATTAATTCCATGAAGTGACTGTATGTACAAAAATAATGTAGATATAAAATCACTAAACAACATGAAAGCATAAAAATATGTAACTCATATGAAAGTATTTATACTGTTATTCATTAAAATATTTATATATTGTTTGTTTTATTGATTTGTGTGCGCATCCTTTTGTTTTCATTACTATTGTATTTTTAAAACATAGCTGCTCCACTATATACCACAATATTAGACTCACTTTGTCTATAATGCTATTTTCAAAAACTGAAAAACCCCTCAGCCCCCGCCCTCACCAAAGTCTGTGAACACCGCTGATCAGCTGTCTGTATTCAAACACTGACAGATCTGCCAACTTTTACATCTTTGCTATAGTGAGATTTAAGCTTGCCAGGATGAGGTGAGGTGTGTATGCAGAGGGTGGGTGATATGATTTAGGTTTTTTTATGGTTTTAGTTGTACAGTTTTACTTTTAGTTGCCAGCCATGAATTCCGTCACACCGAACTGTGTAATAAAGAAATTTCTGACAGTTTTAATTCACTTTCTGAGTCATTTCATCATTTTTAAGGAACACAGCCATTTTAACTGTCTGCAGAGACACTGGAATTTCATCTAAAATATTAATAAAATGTTTCAAAATGTTCAAATAGGACCTCTTTCCACAGCAGCATTACATGTATGAATTTACTGTAAAACTATTATTGGAAATAAAACTAAATATCTAAAATATATTTGGATTTTTGCTTACTTCCTCACTTACTTATGCATAAAATAATATCACCATGGGTGGCTATGTGGACATCAAGATCCAGATCGTGGTAGTTTCAGAAGGATTTTTTCACATTCATATTTACACTCATGAGATTTAACATGGAAACAGCTGTGTTTTCCACGGTGGTCTACTCTGGAGTGTAGCCACATACTGGCCTCTTATATCCTGAGCCTACACATACTGATCACAGGCCTACCCAATCACATGGGAAAAGAATATTTATTAAGAGAATTACTTTAGTATATGTGTTGGTTTTTATGTAATCACAAAAACAGTGAATTCAGGCTGTTTTTGCAGCTTAGTTTCTATATATGGACTGTAAGGACTGGGGAGTGAGGGATATGTCTTTTATTTCAATAGATAGAGGTTTTCTGTTTTTTGAACCCTTTAAAAGCAAATGAATGCACAACTCATTCAGAGTTTATTGCCTGTGCTGTTTAATGATAGTTTAATGAACAAATCCAGGTCCAAAAAAATGGGATTGTATGTGGAATGCCAATAGAAACAGAAAGCAGGAATTAATAAATTCTGTTTGACCTGTATTAAATTAAAAACACCACAAAAACATCACATTTGATGTTCTACTTAATGAGCACTATTGTTTTTTTTGTAAATATACACTCATTTCAAATATGATACCTGCATCTCTTTTTCCAAAATACAGCATGTTTACTACTGTGTTACATCACCTTTCCTTTAAACAGCACTTAAACATTTGGAGACTGAAGACACAAAATGATCCAGTTTTAAAAGTGGATTCTTGTCTTTCTTCAGTTACAGATGTATAAATATTGTGAGCTCGAGTCCAGAGAAGCTACTGGACATTTCTGGACGTTGTTGACATGTGGATTCCACTGTGCATCATACAGTCTTAACTTACATTAGCAGATGCAGTGACAGTGTTTATGACAACGATTTGTCAAAGTATTCCCGAGGCCATGTGTTGATATCCATCACAGAAGCATGAGGATTTTTAATGCAGTGTCGTCTGAGAGGTCAAAGGTCACAGGTATTCAGTTGAGGTTTTTGGCAGACGGTTATGTTGATAAGCTAAAATGCGAAATATCTTGTCTTTGTGCTCTTACTGTTTAAATACAGCTCAAAGTGAATTTACAAATCACTGCTCTCTGTTTTTATTTGTATTTTATTTACTGTCCCAACATTTTTGGAACTGGGTTTGCAGATTAAGTTTGGAACTGGCCTGTTATCAGTGGATGTTATCAGTGGTGAAATACTGTAGCACGATGTTGCAGATTATTGTGTATCTCTTTTGTGCTCTTCTTCCTCTCTCTGCTCTTCCTGTTGCAGCTCCAGCAGCTCACTGAGGACCTCCAGCATTTCATCAAAGATCTGCTGCAACCTACACACAAACACACACAAACACACATTCAGTCATAATGTTCATGTTGGAGCTCCTTAACGTCACACTTCAACATGGCAGGTTGAGATTCATTAAAAAGACACATTACATTGTAAAGCTACATGATAACTTAAAACTATTTACTTGTGAAAAGATAAATTAATCAAGACAAGATGGTTTTATGGAGGAGTGTAAAACACAGACCTCAGATCTGAATGGAAAGGCATCTAGAATGAAGGATAACTCAGTAAACAGAGATTTCTCTATTAGCCCTATAATGCCTAAAGCAGAAAGCAGCATTTTCTGTCTCTAATTTACTCTTCTCCTTTAATAACGTCATTTCTCAGTACTGCTTTTAGATGTAACAACAGCATCTAACAAAGCTGAAAATTTATAGATGTTTAATTTGTAAGATATGCTACCTTTTTGAAACAAGCAAATGTATTTTATCAGAATTTGTGAGTGTGGTGGGAGCTTACACATCTGGGTGCATTCTATCTATTTCTGTATTGTTTATGGCTCAGTTACACTGTTTTATATCAGCATTATTTTGCACAATAACTGGCTACTTTGCCATCTTTGTTGTAACAAATTAAATCAAATATCACATCAAACCTAAAAATGTATTTTTTCATTACACTCTACTACAAACTAAAGAGCAATTTATCGCAGTGTGAGTGAGTGTGTGTGTATGTGTGTGTGTGTGTGTGTGTGTGTGTGTGTGTTGCTCACATGTCCAGGGTGGCGTCCTGGTGTCGCAGCATGGTCAGATATATCTGTAGAAATGTCAACCTGCTGCTCTTATCCTTCGTTACAATGTGGTCCTAGTCGGAGAGAGACATTCTGAGCTGCTGGATGATTTGGGGGAAATTCTTATCAGTCTTTACGTTGGTATCGGACCATTTCTTCAGTTTAGACACCTAAATGTAAATAATGTCAAACAAAACACTTCAGTAAATACATTTTCAAAGCAGTTTTCTCCTCAATTTTATCATGTCTGATTCCACCCGCTAGGTAGTTCTCCCCTTATCAAACAATGTTACCGAGCTGGGAGAGTGAAGGCTAGCACCTGCTTTCTTCTGAGACACGTGAAACACCACTGCCTCATTTCAAAGTGCTTTGTCATTAAAAAAGCTTCTTATTTCTTTACAGGTGTTTCCCACTCAGTTTTGTGTAGAACTCTACTTTCACTCCCCTGACTCAACCTGCACTCACCTGACTCCCAATCAGCTGCTTCATTGTTTTTTTCTCCTTCTTTCTTTTCTGCGCTGCCTCCCGCTCCTGCAGAGACCCCTCCTCACGGGCTTTAGTCATGCGCTGTTTCACATTAGGAAGAAGAAAATATACACATTAACTTCAATTATGGACTGAGGGTTAATGTTAGAATTAGCATTAAATTTACTAGCGACGTTAATTAAAGCAACTGAGTTTAGGCTTAATAAAGGGCAGATTAACGTTCATTTCAATGTTAGGGTTATTTATCATATTTAGGGTCAGGCTTAATGTTAGTGGTAATATCATTCCCCTCTACATGGCAGACTGTGGTTTGATATCTTGCTTGGGCAAACACACCACACTATACCAGTAGGAGTCCTTGGGCAAGACTCCTAAAGCTACATTTGCCTTCCTCTGTAACATCATTCAACTCTAGCTCTGGATAAGAGCATCTGCCAAACACTTAAATGTAAATGTAAAGATAGATTTACCTCAACCTCCATGATGACCAAACCCACGAACATGTTGAAGAAGATGAAGTGGCCTATCAGTATGAAGACGACGGGGAAGAGCCGACTGTAGGTCACTCCTGAACTATCTACTTTCTTCAACAGGTCCACCCAGCCGTCCAGCTAAAATAGAACAACAAAAAACGACATGCAGTCAATTATCATGTTTGCTATTGCGAAAACTTTGTCGCAGGAAACAGAAAGCAGGGATGGAAATTTATAGGGTGATTAGATTGTAAGGAGGAGGGGTTTCATTCTAGAAAATGTGAATGGGGTGAACATTCTAGAACAGAGTGAATGAGTGAATGGAGAGGTCATTCTAGAACAGTGTAAGGGGGGTGTTGCTGCTGATTGTTGATGTTTGTTTTCATATGTTTGTGTTTATTGAGGATTGTTTATATCAAATGTAAACAGTTGTTTTTACAAGCTTTAGATGTTTATATTTTCTACATATACATTATGTGTGATTGCAGATGCTTGTGTACAACTCACTGTTACTAAGCCAAAGATGGTGAGCAGAGCGGACCCCAAATCCCCCCAGTGCTCGAGGTCCCCTGAAGCCTGCTCTCCGAAATAGAGAACTCCAGCAACAGCAAAGATGAACATGATGAAGAACACCAAACTCATCACATACACAGCTCTCTTCATGGCTTTAGCTAGCATCACAACCAGAGCCTGCAAAATAGCACGAAACAGACGAAAACAGTTATAAAAACAAAATCTTCTCATATGTTCATATTTAAACATCACACGTGAGCTAAATTTTTATTTAAAGGCATCTTTAGAATTTTCTTTCATAGGTTTTCACTTAAGAACAATTCTAAGAACAGGTGCTATTCTTGACTAGACTGATTCTTAAATATTTTCCTAATCTTGTAGAAGCTTCACACTTGTTTTACACAGAGTTGATAGGGTAAACCTGAAAGTAATTATTATAATTATTATCACTGTTAAAAGTACATACTGGATATCAATGGGCTACATAACAAATGACTTAATGATCTATTTAAGAAAATAACTATTAACACATGACCTGAAGGGAGGGGAAGAAGGAGATGGTCTTCAGGACCCGGAGGGCGCGGAAAGGTCTGAGGTTCTGCAGTGAGAAGAATGAAATGGCTCCCTCAGCGAACACTGCCACCAGAGACAGCAGCAGCAACGCAGAGCTAAAGATATTAAAGCCACTTCTCCAAAAACCACGGTGCTCCACGTAGACCTTCATACAGAACTCCAACACCTAGAGGAGCAGAAAAAACCCTCAGCCACCTGCAGGACAGAATAACTACAATAATCACACCTCAGACGAGTCTCTGATAAACTCTCTCTCAGTCTGTCTCTCTCCTCCTCTCACTCTCTGTATCTCTTTTTCTCACCCGGAACAGTCCTGAGTTACTGTACTCTTCCTCCAGGGCGATGACAAAAGCGTTGATGATGACAATTATCACAATGAACGCATTAAATAAAGAGTGCTGACTGATGGACGAAATGAACGAGTGAAAGCGCACATCTCTCCTCCTGCACACAAACAACAAACACAAAAGAACAACTGTTACTTTTCTTCAACTCAAATATTATTTACACTTGCACCACCATTCATGCAGAAATAAATTAGCTGATCATATTAAAGCACTAATTTTAACTTTTCATACTAAAGCAGAAATATAAAGGCTTTCTGATATTGATGAAGAACTTTGTTTTACACTCTGGAGCTGGGGGTCGGGTCCTCCACTGAAAATCTCCTGCCGTTGTCCATGATTCTGTGGTCAAACAACTCTCACACTGAAAACTGCAGCACAAAAGTCCAAAAACACACACACACACACCACAGTATCACCCTTTAGTACACATCGTCATGACAACCAAGGACAGATTCGTTATGACGTCATCGCCACGACACGTTTGGTCATTATCGTCAGCGAAATCGCTTTTACACTTCAGTAATTAACGTTATCGTATCGGTTATCTTACATGACAAAATGGTCTTTAGTTCTGAGTTTGTCTGCCAGATGTTGTCGCATTAACTGCACAGCACAAAGAAGCCATTTTGACTGGTGTGATTAGCTGAGACAGTTTCTCACACAGCAACCCGAACATTTGGCAGGAGACTCACAACAACTCAGCTAAGTTAAAAGAATATGGCTTATTTTCTAGGAAAAGATCATTAAAAGTGGAAAAGTGCAAATATAAAACCTTCTCGGCCTTATTTAGAAATGAACGAAGGCCGTATAAAACACTATTCTGACTTCGAAAAATCCCCGAGCAGCTAAAACTGTGCTTTTACTGCATCTTACCACATTTAAGACGACTAATCTTGTTATTTTTCCATTTTGTCTCTCATTCATAAATGAATAAATCACATTAAAAGTAGAAATCAATAAAAACACTTACCTTTTCGTGAACGACGCTGTTCTCTAAGCTTACTTCTCGTTTTTCCTCCGCCGACAAATATATACGGTCAGAGTGTCTGGTGGTGACGTCATAATGGGGGGCGGTGCTAATTTGCATAATGCAGTGCGTTATTCTGTAGTCCTCGTTATCCAGTGGTATTCGAGAGAAGAAGGTTCACAGGACAAAACGTATCGGGTTCTGAACATTTTTATCTAGCACAGGGTGAGACAGATGCGATTTTTCGAAACCCTTATTCATTCTGGCCACAGAGAAATGGAGCTTAGACCCGGAGTTCGTATGGACAGAAGAACATGGCGCCGACTACAAAACGACGACATGACTACAGTGGTCTATGGTTTATCACAGTGAACAGTTAAAGGGGGGTTACAAAGATTTTATTACCAAACGGTGTACACTTTCATCAAATTACAGCACCGGAGCTCAGCTCTGTTAGCCGTTTAGACGAACCTTAGACGCTAGAGATCCGGTTCGCTCCGAGCCCAGTTTACCCCTGAACTGCTGAGCGGTGTCAGTCAGCGCGGCCAGTGATCGTTAAAGGAAAAAATAAATAAATAACCGGTAGTTGGACTTTGACGAGACCAGAATATAAATCTGGCGACACCGATGGCCGAGACAGATACAAGTACAAACACTACCGAGTCTAAGAGAAGTCTGACCCCACATTCACACCGGCAGAGACCCTTCGCCTCTTGTGGCCCAGATCGCTGATCGCTCATCGTCTGTGGGGGTTCTGAACTCCAGCGGACCGTTGGTTGCCATGGTTTCACTGACGCTGGAGCACAAATCAGACGCATTCCCGCTAGAAATAAAAATCATCGTGAAAAATCGCTTGTGTGCTTTTTTATTTAATCCCCGTATCTGTGCAGTCAGTATGTGAGGAAAACGCTATTCGTCTTTGCGATTACTGTCTATTTGCGAGTCCAAAATGAATGGATTGATATGGAGCATTTGATCAAAATCATAGTTTATAAATGCTTAAACATTTTTAATGTAAAAGAATACATTCAGTTCCTGAACACTGAACAGCATAAACCATTTTAACACTGCTGTTATATTTTAAAGAGCTTTTAAACTCGAGTTATAGGAGTTTAAAACGGCGCCTCATGTACGTTCATGACGTCAGTGAGCGCGAACAGCCAATGAGCTACTCCGCTCGCCAATCAATCATCACGCTCTAGCACTAATGCCCGCCTTCTGCTGCCCAGAACCCGTTTGCTGTAGAAAACAAAGAAATATATAGGTAAGATTTCTTTGTTTTTTAAAGATGTAAAGATGTAAAAATACATCCTTCTACTTTCTAAAATTAAAGAAATGTTCTGGGCAAGTGATTAGAAACTATGTTTACTTCTCGTGTTTAGCCGTTGATCTCCATTTACTCCCATTCGTTGACGACTCACTCGCGGGCGCCCTCTGCTGTTTAGCAGTCCTGTTTTTGATATAACGGGGGAAATAGGAAGTGGCCAGGCTCCTCATAAAACCGGCTCTGACTCCGCTCAACTTTGACGCGTCGCCGACCCCGCCTACTTCGCGTCGGCAACCTACGGCCAGGAAACTCGGTTTTACATGTTTGTATCAGTGCCTCAGTTTACTAGCAGTGCATTCTTGTCAACAGTCTGATTAATGGAGCAGTCTGAAAATGTGAATGTGACTGACAAGGTCAGATCAGCGTCATGATTTTTATTGATTATTAGACACGTCTGAGGTTTGGTCAGGTGCTTTTTTGCTATCTTAAAAAGTGTGATTCATTCAGTATTTTGATAAAAACAGATCTGTGAGAATCTGTGGGTAAATAGACATGGCATGTTCCTTTCTGGACTTTCTGGACTTCCTTTTTTGGTTGTATGCAAGTTATGATATCACAAGTTTCTCAAATAAAAATGCTCTGAATCTGAGTGGACATAACCTGAAAATGTAAAGGAGCTCAGGTACACAAAGAGCAGTATAAATATATCAATAAGATAGTGCTTCATAATCTTGGAGAAAATTCACTGAGGACTTCAAGAAAGTGTATAAAAACATTTTATTTGTCAGTGCTGAGATGTTTCATGGCAGAAGGGTCCTTAAGTTCTTTAGATTCTGATTAAGAACAGATACCATTAAGCAGGATCTTTCCACTGATTAGGTTTAGTCACTAAAAGAAGGACATTTTATATAGGTACTCATAAAACAAAATATATATCCAATGTTTGGGGGAGCAAAAACGATCAGAGAGTAGAGAGTGTTGTATTGGGTGACACTCGGGGCAACAGTCTTTCCTTTTGTGTACCCTTCTAATGTGTACCAGAGAATTCACTCCACGTGTAGTGTCTATTTCTCACACAGGACGTAGTTTAAGAGTTTTGGTGCTGGGTGAAATGAAAGCCATATTATTTGCAGGTTCTGATGATCTCATGTCCTCAGAGTTTGCTGATGGGCTCTATATTCCTCCAGGCAGAAATCCATCTCTGCCTGATCGATTGAGTCTCTCCTTTCTCTATTCTGTTAGTAGCTGCTCTCGTGACCAGTCAGAATGTATAAGTTGCTGGTGGCTGAAGGGTTGTCTGTCGGGGTGCTCTGTAGAACAATGTCTCTGCAAAATAGGTTAAATATCGTGTACATCAGTCAGGTAAAAAATGTCAGATAGAGGGAAATAGGAAAAATGACAGATAGAGGGAAATAGGAAGGGGAGACCACAGAAGTATTGCATTACCTGTTTGTGCCTAAAACTTGAAACCTTCTAGTTTCATCTGTGATTTCTTGAGTTATCTGTAAAACATTATTGTGGTTTCAGAGTCTTAGATTAAGACTTACATATTGTCACTAAACAAAGAAAAGCAAGCATCTCCATTTTTCTCCATCATCTGAGCTCAGCAGCTGTTAAAATGTCATGATGAATGGCCCAATAAAAATGATCCAAAACTGCTTGGAATAAAATCTCTTTACATTAACTTGCGGTTAAGGTAAAGAGCGTTTTTGCCCTTTACTGTATCTGTAAAGTTACCATACTTTTTTTTCTTTGGACAGAGAGAATATCTACTCTGTAAATCAGACACAGACACTTATCTCTTAGCTCATTAAGATCTCGAACAATTGTGATGTTGAGGACAATAATTTAAAATAACAACGTAATGTCCCATTCCCACCGCGACCCAGAAGGATAAGCGGTTTAGATGATGGATGGATGGATGGATGTCCCATTCCTTGTCATGCTTAACACTAGTAGATACATTTCGATATACAGTGCTGTGCAAGAGTAAGTGACCTCTCTTTATTTATTTAAGTTCCCCTTAAAAATGGCCTCAACACCTAAATATAATACATTTTTTAGCATCCAGTGTGCACACAGCCTTTAGTACAGCTTCCACTCTTTTTGGGAGACTTGATTTTAGTGTTTCTTAGAAATTTGCAGGGTTTTTTTTCCACACCTCTAAAGTTCAGTTTTAGAAGTTGGTTGCATTTTCTGCTTCTTGTGATACAAGTAATCACACTCGTGAATTAGACTCCTACTCCGCATCTCAGATATCCAGATGCAAATTTTCTTCTTTTTTGTCTATCAGAGCGTTGTGTTGTCTTCTCACAGTGAAAAGATCGACAGAAACACCTTCGGATTTTTTCAGATCTGAAGTAAGAGTGGAGTTTGATTTTCTCTCTCAAAGATGAAAAAGCTTTAAGTGCTGTTTATCTGATGGTGACAGTTTTGGTGGTCTATCAGGTCTTGCAGTGCAGTTAGGAGTCTCATTTTCTCTATAGTCCAGTCCAGGAAACTCTTGTTTTTCACCTATTTTTCTTTGACTTTCTACTTCATTATACAAGTGGATTATCTTAGATCTAATCACCTCAGAAGTATTCCCTAATAAATGATTAACTTGTACTTAATGGCTGTTTTGACTGGAAATAAACTAGTTTATTGGAAATAAACTAGTTTAAGAAACTAAACTAGTTTACTGTGTAAAAGTCATCTGTGAAAATGAGATGTAAAGCTACTTATCTGGGCATTAAGTAATGTTCATGGCTACTTAAGATTTCTGCACAGCTCTACATATAAAATAGAAAAAACACATCAGAGAAAAGCTGGAAAATATCGCACTTCAACCACCTTCTAATTTATTATTAATACAAAAGTCAGAGGTACTTAGAAACTGAAATACCTCACAGTCGTGCAGGCTACGTCCTTTAAGTCCATGTTTCCAGAAAGCTAAAACGCTGTCCTGTAAACAAACTGTAAAGAAACAGGAAAAGATAGAAACACGTCTGAGACGATATGAAGTAACTTGCTTCATGTGCTATTATAGTATAGTAACTGAATTTTTTTTCATTAGAAATGAATTTAGAAACTTTCTTACCTAATGTCTCTATAGGGAAGTCAAAGTCTAGTTCTGAAGCTAACTCCTTGCTAGGGACACCCTGAAGATTCACGATCTTCACTGTTTCTGTAATGATAGATGTAACAGTACATAAGACATGGTACAATTTATTGTGAACGCGTAACTCAATATACTGAAAAAAGCACTTAATCACATTTACTTGATTCACCATTTCCACATGAATAAAACTATATTGCATCAACACAATTTTGTCTTTAGCTTACTTTTGGCAGTAACGGTGTAAAACACATTAGTGTATATGTGATGTACACATTTGAATCAAGTAAATTCAACACTTTTTTCCCAGTAGGCCGTACAGCATACTCACTTTCTAGTGCAATCAGAACTGTATCTCTGTCCAGCTGTGTTACCTGCACTGCTCTTACACATTCACTGTCTACACACACAGACACACACACAAATCGTTCAAGTGAAGAAAGCAAAGCTGTCATGGTTTTATTTCTGGTTGTGTGTGCCGTCAGTATAATTTACACCCACCTGGCTGGGAATTGGGTGTGCCGTTCAGTTGTATGATGTCAAACTTTAGCTGCTGCTCAGTCTGAGGTTCATCATTTTGTGGCCTGCATTCCCTCACTCCTACACAGAGCTGAGGAAGCTCATCTGTCACCAAAACCAGCAGCTCAAAGATGACCAGAGGGTCAGGCAGGACCGCAGCTATGTGCTACATGAACGGGATTGAGCACCATAAACAAAACAATGGATGTAACATGACACAATATTTGATTCTTTAAAGCCAAGGCAAAAAAACTGCTGTGTAATCTGTTCTTCTCCATAAATCACATTTTCTCTGTACTGTTGTTGTGTTTAATTTGATATGTAAATACCAACAAGGTCAAAAAAGCACACATAAATCTTCAGTTCCACATGCTGCTACATGTTACTGCCCAGCGTGGACAGGCATGTGTTCCACATACCTTTGGGGGATTTTACTAAGTGAAATGTGACAATGCCAAATGTACTGAGTGTATATTAGGTAGAACAGGTTTAAAACAACAACATTAATGCTCTGTGTGCATCAGGGTGAGTTTAAGTAGAGCTACTTTTGGACTCACCTTAAGGTGCATAAATTTCTGCAGGGGTTCGTACCACAGCAGTAAAACGAGCCCAGAGGGAACAGCCGCACACAGGAACGTGCTGTCAGTGTACGGGTTGCGAGCTGGAGGGAAAAGAACATAAGATGCTGTAGCGAAAAGCTTGTTAGTCAATTACAGTCCATCTGAGAGGGATGACAAAGACAGCACATCCACATGCATCAGTAAAACTCCAACTCCAAAACTCCAACTTACCAACACTGCACTTTCGACAACCTTTAGTGTCTGGGATCTTTAGTGACACAGCAAACTTCCTGTTAAAATAAAAAAGTTTAATTTGTCGTAGCACTTCGGAATGTTCTGACTTAACCTCTTAAACTGTAAGGGCTTGTATGTGGG